TCGTCTTAGCTACGTTTGTCAGAAAGATAAATGTATTCATTCATTTTCAATCCATCCGTCTTTCATTCTGTTTATCGTTCAATAAATCAATCAATCTAAGTTAGTTAATTCGTTTCATCATTTTTCCAAATCATCCACCACCATCGTCGTCACCTAAATTACAACCATCCTCATCACCAACATTATCATCTTCATCATCGTTGTCATCGTCATCTTATTTTAGGTTAAGCTGCTTTAGTATCTTCCTTATGTCGGGGTCCATTTCTTCTTCTTCCTCGTCATCTTCATCGTCATCATCTTCATCATCGTCATCATCCTTGCTGGTTGTCACCACCCTATATTTGCTGTTTTCATATGCATGTGTGTGTGCGTGTGTGTGCGTGCGTGTATTCGTTTATCATACACGCACATACAAAAATAAACAAACTAACACACTTCTTTTAACAACAAAATTCTAAACGCAAGCACTCAAAACAGGCTAATGAACCATTACAAACACGCACACACACGCGCACACACACGCGCACAAAACTTACGGAGCCGCTTTCTTCTTCTTCTTCTTCTTCTTATCAGAGTCGTCGGACTTTGAAACCTTCTTCACCATCACCCAATCAGATTTTTGGGGTTCTGCGTAAACAATCCTACCGGAAGTTTTCTTAGGCGCTGGCGGTTTTGGCTCCTCCTCACGTTTTTCTGTGTCCCTATTGGTTAGTTGGTTAGAGGGTCATGAATGTTAATGAGCAGTGGGCGGGGTTATGAATATTTAATAGGTTCGTTTTTATTAAAAATGTTATTATTGAGAAAAAAATTTCTCCATACCTCTTTTTGTACTTGATGATGACCGGGTGTTTCGGCTTGCTGTGTATGGATGAAATGAATTAATGAGTAAATGAATGAACAGATGAATTAATGGATGGATGAATGGATGAATGATGAATGAGTGATTGACTTCATTCGAACGTGCTTCAGAAACAAAACCAGCAAGTAACATTTTTAAAATGTCCGAAAAAGTACTGCAACCAATTTGAGATTTTCATTCGTTACGAGTTAGACAATCAGACAACAGACCAATCATAGTCAACCATTTAAATCAGACAACAGACCAATCATAGTCAACCATTTAAAACCCTTGCCCAATACCATCACTCCATTCAAAACCGACAACCAATACCATCACCCCATTCAAAATCGACAACCAATCAGAACCCTTCATTCAAATTTACCCTCCGCCATTGGTGTTGGTGTTTGTGATAATAATGGGCACAGGCTGTGGCTGTTGGGGTTCACTTCTACAAAAATAATAATTAAAATTAATTATAACCAACTTAATTTAATTATATTATTAAATAAGATTCTGATCATGTAGATATAATTACAGCTGAAAATGCTGAAAATCAATATAACAACATTAATACACACACTTATAAACAAACAATCAAACAAACATACATACATACGTATACAAACAAACATACATACATACGTATACAAACAGACAAACAAACACACGAATGCAGACAGACAGACAGACAACTAGACAGATACTTACGCATATTCATAATAAGGTTCCTCTTGATAGTATGGTTGGGGCACGTACAAAGGCTCCTGTTGGTATTCTTGGTAGGAGGGGTAGGAATATGGCTGAATCGGTGGCAGAGCTAGGGCTGGAGCGGCTACCGGCTGTGGGTAGCCGTAAGCACCGTACGCTGCGTAGGCGGCCGCAGTGTATGGATCCATTGACCTGATTGTTGGTTGGTTGGTTGGTTGGTTGGTTGGTTGGTTGGTTGGTTGGTTGGTTGGTTGGTTGGTTGGTTGGTTGGTTGGCTGGTTGGTTGGTTGTTCTGAATAATTTGTTGTTTAGTTGGTTGGCTATCGTTTGATGAGAAAATATTTGAATTAATTCCATTATCAAACAAATTTAATTTAACCATTTTAATCAAACGCAACAAACAAACAAACAAACAAACAAACAAACAAACACAAACAAACAAAAACACAAACAAACGTTCAGACTCACGGGTCAGCTGGTGGTTGTTGCAAATAAGCAGATGGATCAACTGTAGCAGCTTGTGGATAGGGATAAGCAGCTGAAGCAGCTGGAGCGGCTTGTGGGTACGAATAAGCAGCGGCAGTAACTTGCGGAGGCTGAGGATAAGCAGCTGGTGCAGCAGCTGGAACAGCTGTAGTGGCTATTTGAGTAGCGGCAGTAACAGCAACGGTAGCAGCTGTTTGGGGGTCACGCTAGATACTGTGGGTGTGGTTAGTTTTAGGGTCATGGTTAATTATCTAAATGTGGTAGTAGCAGTAGTTGTTGTAGTTGTAGTAGCAGCTGCATCAGCAGCAGCAGCAGCAATAGTAGTAGTAGTAGTAGTAGCAGCAGCTGTAGTAGTAGTAGTAGTAGTAGTTGTTGTAGTAGTATAAAATGAAGAAACATAAGTAGTGATTATACAGGGGATTTTATAAATTCATTGTTGTCACTATCATCACCAGTTTTGATAATATCTTTAACAACGTCATAATCATCAAAAACAACATCATTATTATCATCATCCTCATCAACAACAACATCATCACCAACAACACCACCATCACTATCATCATTATCACCGCCACTATCATCATCATCACCATCATCATCTTCATCACTGACTTTATGTTCTCTAGAAGTATCGATGGTATAGAACCGCGGTGGTGGGCCGGGATGGAAGTAACTAACCTGAGTGGCTGTGATGGTGATGGTGAAAGCGATAATGGTGATGGTGAAAGTGATGATGGTGATGGTGAAAGTGATAATGATGATGATGACAATGATGATGATGGTGATGGTAATGATGATGATGATGGTGAAAGTGATGATGATGATGGTGAAAGTGATGATGATGATGGTGAAAGTGATGATGATGATGGTGAAAGTGATGACGATGATGATGACAATGATGATGGTGATGATGATGGTGATGATGGAGATTATGGCCTAAACGATAATGACGTATTTGTTGCTGCTTGGAATGGCAAGAAAGCATAAAATGTGCTTGTGACTATTACAATATAGTAGTAGTTGTAGTAGTAGTAGTAGTTAAAGCATTAGCAGTAGTAGTAGTAGTAGCAGTAGTAGTAGTAGTAGTAGTAGTAGTAGTAGAAGTAGTAGTAATAGTAATAGTAGTAGTAGTAGTAGTAGTAGTAGTAGTAGTAGTAGTAGTAGTTAAAGCATTAGCAGTAGTAGTAGTAGTAGCATTAGTAGTAGTAGTAGTAGTAGTAGTAGTAGTAGTAGTAGTAGTAGTAGTAGTAGTAGTAGTATTAGTAGTAGTTAAAGCATTAGCAGTAGTAGTAGTAGTAGTAGTAGTAGTAGTAGTAAAGCA